TCTCTCTCTCTCTCTCTCTCTCCCTCTCTCCCTCTCTCCCTCTCTCCCTCTCTGTAACATCTATTACAGCAGCTTTGTTGTGTGGTGGGTCATCACAGAGCCTATTTATTACACCCCGCCTAAACGAGGAAGAAAAACTCTGCAGAGAGAATAAATGGTTCAGAGGTAATTAGAGTCATTTGAATGCAGACAGTTTTTTCAGTAAACTTTTAAAACCTGCTGGTCAGTCACGTAGCTCCATGTGTAGCCTCATGTAGTACACTGCAGTATCATGTTACATAATAAAAACAAATGTATTTGAGTATGCTTACGGAATAGAACAGACTTAATACGTATACTAAAACTATCAATAATATCTCTCATTGGTTGAAAAAAGATAATAAAAATAATGATGTTGTAAAAGTGAGGACTTAATATCTTTTTTCCTGTAAAGCCGGTGGTTTATTCTTGAACAATAAATACTCTTTAGATGGATAAGGGAAAATCAGCTCAGTTTTAAAAGGGAGAGAGAGAGAATGTAAAGGGAAAACTGCTGAGCCAGCAGGATCAGCCAACATTAGCCTGCAGAGCTCTCAGTGTAAAAAAAAAACAGTTGTCCTGTTAAACAAGTCCAGTGAAAGCTCGTATTTAAATACATTTTGGTAAATTATTTATTTTACTAATTCAACTGAAAACATAGGGTTCTGCATCATTTTGTGCCTGCTTATTTATGTATTGATTTATTTACAGCTTTTAATGTAGATTTAAACTGCAGAAATGGAGCAAAAATACCAGTTAAAATAGACGTGTTGTGGTATTAATTGTTTATAACGATTTTTCTTATTTATATCACTTTTGGTTAATGATCAATCCTTATGCTGTCTGCATTAGTTATGATGCTGGTCAGGTGATGCATTAGTGTTGGGTTTTTGTTGTTTATTTGCTAGGATTGGTATTTTTTTGTTAGTTTTTTGTAATGCTGTGGGATTTGTACGGGCTGGACACTCCAGACTTTTCTCTTGACAAATTCATTTCAACAGACAAATTTGGGTATAAATAGCTGCAAAATGTCATGTTTCACTCAAACACTCACGTGTACAAAACACACACTGCTGCATTTTTGGCTGCAGCCGATTTTTAAGATATTGAAAGTAAAATCTTTAGAAACTGTTACTGAAAAAAAAAGTTAGGACTTATACTCAAGGCTTCACTGGACAGCTTGCTTTTATTCGTTATTTTGTTTTATTTGTATATTTAATTTGGCCCTTTAAATCATTTTGTTAATTACATTTTAGTGAAACTGGACTGCCTGTTATTGGATTTCACATTTAACTCTCCGTACTAAACTGCATTATTGTGAAACCAAATTGAGACTTAGATTACTGGACAGAATGCAGCTGCGTTTGKTTTGAGCCTGTGGAGTTTCCTGAAGAACTCCATTGTTTGAGCGTTACTGTGAAATTCCCCTTTAGAGATAAACTGATTCAAATTGAGCTGATAGGAAATTAACCGAATTTAATAACAGCAACAGAATGCAGAGACAAGAGACAGAGWTTTGTCTCCAACTTTATCATCGTATTCCCCTTAATTAAGACCATCGTGATTAAGCCCTCATTRCTTTTCTTTTGGGAATAATGTAAACTTTTTAAATTAGGTCGCAAGAATATTTTCCAGCCTTGGAAGAAAAAAAAATCCAAGTCATACCTCAGGCTGTYTGTTCTGCTGATTTTGCATTTGTCTACACACTCAGAGATTATTCATGTAGTTTTGCAAGGAGTAATGGGTTTCCTGGTGATGAAGTCAGAACGGCATCTTTTAGTTGTGTTTATACAGTGTGCTCTCTGTTTTAAAATGGAGCTGGAGCTGCACAGCTGTTTCACTCATGGCAGACTCAACATGATGGAAATCCAACTTCCGTTTGCAATCAGTGAGCTCAGTTTAAGTTATGTTTAATAGTTTTAATAACATAAAAAAAGTTTATTACAAAATGTAACTCCTCAGATTGAAAAAGTCTCTTAGAGACAAAATGTGTTTTCAACAAAGAAGAACTCATCCAGAGGATTTACTCAACTTTTTTTTCCTACCTGGATTATTGAGATGCATCAGAATAGTATCAAGAACAATTTCTTGGCCGCTGTCTTTTCTTCACCCCTCTGGAGCAGAGATAATCTCGTAAACCACAATTTACAGAAACATGTTCACAAAGGATGACAAGTTCAAACTTTAAACACCAAACACTGATTGCATTCTGTCTTAAATGATTYTAGTCTTTTAAATCAAATCAAACTTTCAGCAGCTCACATAAGACACAACTTTAGACCACAATATGTCTGACAGTCTGACACATTGGTTAGAAAAATAAATGCTATTTAATAGATTACAATGCAGTTCGAAAGAAGGGCATTAAAACCCCAGCATGTCAATTTATTACACATTTAACAAACATTTTCAGAATAAACCAGCTTTATATTAGAGTAGATACTCAGTTTCTACATGACAATCACAATTTCACTATCATTTGTGAAATCATCTTTGCTTACTTTACAATGTATTGCTTTGAACAATGCATCTTAGTTGTACAATGTGTTTGTGTAATTTAACTGAYTTTTCGGAACTGTTATGGCTGCAGATTTGTTGGTTCTGTTGACAACGAAAGCAACACCAATCAGTCTACCGTCTGTGGTAGCTTTATTCGGCGCCTCTTTGCTCCTAATTTACTGACACACATAGAGTAAATGTGAGRGAAGATACAGATGATGTACAGCTGGGGACAGATTTTCAGCCTCTGCAGGGAAACGTCTCTTCAGTCCTTCCTAAGGAAAGCTTTGCATGTTCGAATCCCTTCTGCTGTTTCATGGTTCATGAAATAGGAGGCTTCACTGCTGCCCATATTTCTGTCTTCACCGCCCTTGTTCACAAACTGCTGAGAGGATCAGTATAGATAGACATTGGTCTAAATGCTGTTCAAATGCTCCACATGTTTACATTTTTACATTGTTTACCACCGTGTTGCAAGCCAGTTTGAGACCATCAGCTTTGGTGATGTTTCTGAGCTGAAATTGAACAGAATTTCTGACGCTGACATTTTGCCTGTGAAAGCTGGTGAATTGATGGCCTTGCTGGCATTGTGTTTAGTTTTTAGCTAAATGCAATCCGAGCTTCTCGTCACTCCCAAAAAATAAAATAAAATAAAATAAAATGCAGTGGAACAGACTTTTTTATTAATGTATTTTTATACTATATACAACAGGCCTGTTAGGAGGATTGCATCAATACCAGTAAGTCTTTCTTTTCTCCCTGAACTTCATCCAGTCTGTGTGGAAAACAATCAACAAGCCATTAAATTCTTATTAAGAGTGAGCTTTGTTTGTGGTCAGCTGGGGAAAAGAGGAGATGGTTAATCTTTTCAGGTGTCCAAACAGAAAATATAACTGAACTGTGCAATCCTAATTACAACACAGAAAAAAAGTGTTGAAAGACATATAACAATGAAAAAAATCAGAAAAAAATGGTAAATTTAAAGTTTTGAGAATGAATTAATGGTTCTTTTTTCCATAAATAAATGTTCTGATTAAAGTCTGAAGTGACCAAACCTCAGTATGTTTGAGTTCTTATGTCAGAAAAAACAATAAAAAATGTTGAGATGTTCATTATGGAGGACCAAAACTGACATAATTAGAAATAAAAGCAGAAATAACAAACAAACAAACAAACAAACAAAACAAAAAAACAAACAAACTAACAAACTAACAAACTAACTAACTAACCAACCAACCAACCAACCAACCAACCAACCAACTAACTAACTAATAAATAAATAATTGACCAATTCAATTTTAAAAGGCAAGCAATAAGGAAAATACTTACCTGTGCCTTTGGTTTTAACTAAACTTTAACCTTTTGGCTAAACCGTGGCAGCACAAGCAAGAATTGTAGATCTGCACATGGATCCTGTTCCTTCCTCTCTGTTGACCAATAGGAGAGGAACTGGCCCAAGAAGGCCCATCCGCCTTATTTGCATAATGAGGCAGAAATGCACAAGGTAAATTAAAAACAGGAAATAGAGAAATGTAAAAGCAACACATGGAAATAAAAAGACAAATGATTAAATAAATAAATATCAACATTAAGGAGACACAAATGTATCTTCAAGTAAAAGGAAAACCTATTATTTTTAAAAATAGTAAAATTTTAATTATGTGCTAAAATTTATAATTTGTTGGGACAAAGCTGAAAAAATAAATATGAAGATCAATTAACTTATAAAACATGAGGTAAAGTTCTCTTTTTTATTTGTTAATTTGAAGTGTATTAATTTATTGGTCCATGTATATATTTATGCTTTTATTTTTAATTATGTCAGTTTCGGTCCTCCATAGTTTTTACCTCATTTGATAGCAAACAATTCGCTTCTTTAACCAAATCATTTGTTTTGCTAAACACAATACATAAAAGACCARGTGAAGTTGGTATCTAGTTAATGCCAATTAGTGTTTGACCTTTGACTGATCACTTTAAAAGTATTTTTCTGCACATTGTTGCAACCTTTCTGCATGATATAAATCTGTTTTCTTCCATCCTCTGCAGCCTTACGTAGGCAGAGATGTATTTGTTAGCAGATCAATTCTGCATCTTCAGAGACAAATTCCTTTGCTCCGGGGCTTGATTAAATCTCAACAATCAGCTGTTGGTGGTGTGAATGGGTGGGTCTGTTCACGTCAAGGTCTAAATTCTGTTATGGTTTAATTTAAAAAGAAACATAGATCTCAAATAACAGTTTACTGCATTGYAAGCTAATTAAACACTAGCTATTGTGTAATTATGCCACCAAAAAGGATTATTATTATTAATATTATAATTGTTATTTTGTGCATATTGCTACAATTTACATGTCTGTCTTTAGACAATTATTAATCTGATCAA